GCCAGGCTGGCCCCCGCGGTGACCCCTAAATCCCCTTACGAGTGAGTCACAAACCTCCACACCCTGCCTGGGAACTGCCACTGGGAAGCCCACAGTCTGGGGAGCAGAGGAAGGTCGGCTGGAGGAGGACACGCAGAATGAAGTTACTAAGTTCCAGCTTTTATGGCCCGTCACAGGCTTGGGCTTGCTCTCCCTTTGCTAAAGGGTTTATGGACCTGGAGGAGGTTCGACTTTTGTCAGATCCAAACTGAAACTTCCCTCTTGAGTTTCCCAAAAGGACTGTAAAAGGGAAAGGGGGGTAATTTCTTATCACCTTATTTGACGTTATTTAACTTGGGACTGTTAAAGTTAACAGTCCCACCTAAAGGCACCTTCCGTGTCCCTGCTTTGGGAGACAGTCTCGTAGAAGGTGGGAACCACAGAAGGTTGCTGAGTGAGGGAATAGCTGCAACTGTTTTCCAGGGAGATTAATTTAGACCCAGGAAGGTCCCTGCTCATCCAGTAATCTTTGGTCAAGGGCATTTCCCAACACCACTGAATTTTGCAAATGCGGCCCCAGCTGAAGGCACCACTGGAGGCAGCCTCTCACTGAATGGCTGTCGGTTCTGTCAGGATCTGACTTGGGTTTGAGTCCTGTGCAACTTTGGGCAATGACTTTGCCTCTCTGAGCCTGTTTCCTCCTGGGTGAAAGCAAAACGGGGTGATGATAATGAAACCCGCCTCTCAGGACGGAGTGCGTGTGCGCGCATGCGCGTATTGAGGGAGCTTCAAGGAGGTGATGCCCCGGAAGCCCTTGGTCCCAATGTAACGCCCCGGCCGAGGGACCAACATGCGCTTGAGAGCGGCGACACCTCGTGTCCGCTACGCGCTACTGCAGTTTCCTCCCCGCGCGGCCGGGGCTCTGTTCCAGGTGCCTGGCGTCCAGGCCCCATCCCGCCCTAGGGGGGCCAATATTCTAATGGGCTCATAAGACAACAGAGATGTTAAAAATGCCACGTAGAGTGAGGTGTATGAGGGTTCCGTCTTCTCCACATTCTCATCAGCATTTGTTATTTGTGTTCTTTGTGATGATAAACGTTGACAGGTGCGAGGTGGTAACTCATGGTGGTTTTAATTTGCATTTCTTTGATGATTAGCAATGTTGAGCATCTTTTCATGTGCTTGTTGGCTGTCTGAATGTCTTTTTTGGAGAAGTGAATATTCAGGCCTTCTGCTCATTTTTGATAGAGTCATTTGTTTTTGGTTTTGTTTTTGATGTTGAGTTGTATGAGCTGTTTATGTATGTTGGATATTAAGCCCTTATCAGTCATACTATTTGTAAATATATTCTCCCATTCCGTAGGTTTTTAGTTTTACTTATAGTTTCATTTGCTGTGCATAAGCTTTTATGTTTAATTAGGTCCTATTTGTTTTATTTTTCCTTTTGTTTCGATTGCTTGGGTAGACTGACCTAGGAAAACATTGCTACAATTTATGTCAGAGAATGTTTTGCCTGTGTTTTCTTCTAGGAGGTTTATAGTGTCTTGTCTTGTGTTTAAGTCTCCAAGCCGTTTTGAGTTTATTTTTGTGTGTGGTGTGAGGGAGTGTCCTAACATCACTGATTTACATGCTGCTGTCCAGTTTTCCCAACACCACTTGCCAAAAGAGACTGTCTTTTCTCCATTGCATGTTCTTGCTCCTTTGTCAAAGATTAATTGACCACAAGTCTGTGGGTTTATTTCTCGACTCTCTGTCCTGTTCCATTGATCTATGTGTCTGTGTTTGCACATGTGTCTAGATTTTTCGTTTTATTGTCTTTTGATGAGCAGAGGAACTAAAAGTTAAAATTATCATTTATGAGTCCCACTTTTGTGTCCTGTTTTAAAAAAACCCTTTCCTACCCCAAGGGCAGAGAGGTGGCTACCCTAATTTTTTTTCCCCGTAAGTTTTAAAGTTTTGTTTTGGCCTTCACATCCTGAACTCATTTAGAGTTGACTGTGTGTGTGGTGTGAGGTGAGTGTGATAGAGGATGGTGGCCCCGAAGCGGTCAGCACCCTAACCCCAGAACCGGGGAGCCTGTCCCCTTGCAGCAGGAGGGAGTCAGACCCGGAGCTGGGCCCACTTTAGTCCTGTGGGTCTTTCAAAGCTGAGACCCTCTCCCAGCTGTGCTCAGAGAGGTGACAACTAGGCAGGAGGCAGAACAGGAGAGGGAAGAGGGGGGAAGGGACCACGGGCCAAGCAGTGTGGGGACTCCGGAGCTGGGACGAGCCCTCACTGACAGCCAGCGAGGACTCAGGGCCCGTCACACCATCGCGAGGGACTGACTGCTGCCATCACTTGACTGGGCAGGCCTGGGCCTCCTCTGTAGCTTCAGGAAGGGACCGGCCCCCTCCCAGGTCTTGCTTTGAGCCCAGTGGGGCCCGTTTTGCGCGTCTGACCTCCAGAACCATCAGATATTAATCTCTACTACCTGAGCCTCTAAGTTTGTGCTGGTCCCTCTGCAGCTGTACAAGAGTTTTACCTCCTGCTGACCACCCACCCCGGGCCCAGCCCCGCTGTGGGACGTCCACTGGCTGCTTTCCCCACGCTGTTGCCACCAAAGTCCTGTACTCCCTGGGTCTGTCTGGTTCCTCTTTCTTTTTTTTATTTAATGGAGGTACGAGGGATTGAACCCAGGATCTCGTGCATGCTAAGCACACGCTCTACCAGTGAGCTACATCCTCCCCTGCCTCCCCCACCGTTCCCCTTTCTTTTCTGCTCAGATAGCGTCATACCCTGGCGATTCCCACCCCCTCAGCCGTCATGTTCCTGCTTCTCCACGTGTCTGGGCAGCAAGAGACAGGCCCTCTGGCTCTCCCTTCAAGGGCTGGCGGAGCTCTGGCCACTTCGCAGGTCCCGTGTGGGTGACTGGCTGGGAAGACGGATGGGGGCTGTGGTAGATGGTGATGTGCTGGGGACCTGGGCCACACCCTGTTTCTCCTCCTGGGTGACGGGGGTGGAGGGTGGTCTCCCTGGACCCCAGTGTCCAGCCTGCACCCCAGGCTCAGGGGTTGTCGCGGGAGTGAATGCATTTCCTGAGGGGCTCAGGGCGGCCAGGCTCCTGGGTGCAGGGTGGCTCGTCTGAAGTGGGTCCTGTGAGCTGTCTCGCGTAGCCAGGTGGACTCGCTGTTGAACAGAGATTTTTCGTGGCAGTTTGCAGTGGAACCTCTCCTGTTGCTACAATGTGGAACTTACCTTTTTGTGAAAGGCACCTGCTGATCTTGGTCAGATTTAACTTAAGAGGGAGAAAGAAGTCATTGAGTGCAAAGTGAAGGTTTAGGACCCTTCAGGCCAGTAACGGGGTTTTCTGAGGGTCTCCTGGATTGGACCAGATGCTTGCAAAGGTCTTCCAGTCTAGAATCCTCACAGAGGTGATGTCCAGACCAAACCCAGGAGCTGGCACTGGGGAGACAGAGTGGGGAGCTGGAAAGGGCTCTACAGACTGTGAATGGCTATCTTGCTCCCCCAGCAAGGGTCCGCCGGGCCCTCTGGGTGGCCAGCTTCTGCTGGGCAATGTTGTGTCCAGGGAAAGGGGTTTGGCCCTGCCTGTATACTGAGGGTATGGAGCAGGATTTGGGGGCGTTCAGGGACACCTCCTACACAAGGGAATGACAGCTCAGAGTCGTAAAGGATATGTAGGGAATAGCCAAGCAAAGGGAGGGGGAGCATGCTGGGTGGGGGCTCTGCACAGAGGCGGTGGGAGATGCAGTCCCTGCGATGCCCTGCGGACGTTTCCCAAAGGCTGGAGCCGGGGTTGGGGGCGGGTGTTGAGGCAGTGAGGACCCTGCAGCTATCGTGACGATCACCTTGCTTGGACTTTGTGAGACAGCCTGTTTTGAACACCATTTGTAGCTGAAGTTATTTCTCATGACATGTTGGGGCTGGAAGGATCTGTACCAGATAGTGTGCTTTTGTCTGCAGCAAACCGGAAACCCTGATACTAAGAGAATTAACTGTGTCAAGTAACAGGAAGCCCAGGCACAGAGAAGGCTCCAGGGCTGCCAAGGTCAGAGGCTCAACACTGTCACCAAAAACCCATCTTTCAGTTCACTGTTCTCAGACTAGCAGGTCTCATGGTCACAGGGCGGCTGCCTGAGCACTAGACATCACACACAGTCCCGGGAATAACCAAGAAGAAAAGATGGGTTCCCTCCTCCTGTCTCCTTTCAGGAGAGAGAACATCGTCCCGGAAGCTGCAGACTCCCTCTCAGGCCTCATTCCTAAGCCAGTCCTGGGGGCTCGGACCCCGGTGAACTGTCATCACTGTTGCTGACTTCTCCATCTCAGCACAGTGGGGTCTCTTACTAAGAAGAAATGGAGGGTGGAGATGGTACCCTCCAGCCCTGTGCCCTGCTCCCAGAGCAACTGTTCACTCAGCAGACCATCCCAGAGAGGCTTCTGAGGGCCAGGCGCTCTTCCAAGCCCCAGGACACACAGTGAGTGGGACTCCCTCGGCTCCTGGTCTGGGAAGGAACTTTCTACAAGACAGAGCTAGACACCGAAGAAGAAAGCAAATATGTGACCAATGTCATTTCAGGCTGTGCCAAACGCCATGGAGAAGTCAAGCCAGGCACTGAGATGCAGAGAGCCCTAGGCAGGGGGCTGCTGTCTTGAAGAGGAGCCCCCAGGACGTGTGTGGGCAGAGGGAACCAGCATGTGCAGAAGCCCTGAGGTGGGTGCCAGCAAGTTGGTGGAGCAGGAAGGCAGAGTGGCAGGAGGGGATGGGGTGGGCCGAGGTTGGAGGAGTGAGCGAACCCACAGAGGGCAGCGTCAGTGTCATCTCGGTGGTGGCCATCTGTGGCTGTGCTGGTCGTGGAACATGGGCGCCAAGAATGTGGGGACAATTCTCCTGTTGCCAGGTGACCACAGACACACTTGGGTGTTGTGGGAGCAAGGCTGCGGGGCTGGGGAGGGCCCGGCACATGGGGGACCACCAGCAAAGTTCACCGTATGGCCACCACACGTCGGAGCCTGAAGACAGGTCGGAACGGGTGCAGGAGGATGCCACGCTGGGCCTCCAGGGCACCGTGTACGAGAGCTGGGGGTCCAGGGACGCCAAATACCAGGATCTGGATGACAGGGAGCTGGGATTAGAGAGCCAGGAAGAGGAGATTCCCCCTGAGGAGGTGACTGGGGAAGAGCTCGTGGACTCCCAGCACCCAGCAGAGGCCATCGCAGAGCTGGAGCGCGTTCTGGAGAAAGATGAGGAGGGTGTGCCAGAGATGAGGTGGGCCAGGGGAGTGGCTGCGCGGGTGGCGGGGGTGGGCTGGGTGGCCCCTGGGTGTGGCTGCACTGACGTGGGTCCCCCCGGGGCCTGAGACGCAGACCAGGCACCTCACCGCCCCTGAGGAGGACATTGGCAAAGAGCCCCTGTCCGGGGGCTGATGAGTTAGGGCTAGAAATGCTGAGTACAGGTCGGAGGGCGCGTCCCGGGTGAGCTGAGCTGCTGCATGTCCTGCAGAGAAGCAGGTGCTCCCTCTCACTGTGGGACCTAGTGCCTTAGTGTGCGTGTATGCACGCACATGTGTACAAGGGTCCCTGGGCTAGACTCCCTGCCCCCTGCCACCTCTGCTTCCAGACAGTAGGTCAGCAGGTGCTACCCCCTGACCCCCTGCACTGCAGAGGGCCATTCACCCTCCCCGTACAATGACTCCTGTTCCCATGGAGATTGTGTTAAGAGCACAGACCCATACATGATGCGGCCAGCGGGGCAGGGGGTGTGTGCCTGTGCAGTCACTGAACACCCTGGTCCGCTCTGTCTGTGGGCTTCCTGGGTGGTGGTGTGGAAAAATGTGTTACAGCTCAGTTGTGACAGCAACCTGGATCCCGGTGAGAGACCAAGCAGCACTCAGAGTTGGAGAACTCAGATTTATTACGCCAGCGGGCCCAGATGAGTTAACACGCCAAGCTCTGGACCCTGTCTGTAGGTTTACATCGCTTTTATAGGCTGCCAGTTTACACTTTGCAACATCATATGCAAATGAGGTATAAGGAGAGCTGACTAATTAAGAACAAGCTTTGTAGAAATGGACCAATCAAGAATGAGCTCCATGCAAATGAAGTACTACAAATGGACCAAGCAGAAGTTAGGGAAGTGGACCAATCAGGAGTGACAGAAATAACCAATCAGGAGTGAAGGAAATAACCAATCAGAAGTGAGCTCAGGGAACCAATAGAATTTTAGGAGTACGTAAGCTGTTTCAGAGGCAAAAAAGTGAAGATAGAGCCTCTGGGCCAGGGAACTGGATGGTGGTGGCAGCAGAGTAGTGGCCCTGCCAGTCTTTTTATGGGGCTTCCTGCCTCATTCCCCACTTTGATGCTCTCTTTAACATCCGTAGTGAGCATCAACCTTAGAGTGGTGTCCCTTATTCATCACTGGGTTCTTCCTGGTCCAGGGGCCTGTACTGAGTGACTAGTAGCTGTAGTCTCTGTGACTCTATTCGTGAGCTAATGAAATGGGTAATGAGGTTAAGGATGCAGGGACCAAACAGCAGTGCTAGAAGGATCATAAAGAGGGGGCCTGCTAGGGGGAGGAGCCAGGAGGCCCAACTCCAGGGGTTAGTCCCCTGTGCCCAGGCGTTTGCTGATTCCTGGTTTCTGCGCTCAGCTCGATCTCGTAGTTGTTGGATCATATTTCTGACAATTCCTGGTTGATTTACATAGAAACAGCATTCCTCATTTAGGAAGAGACAGAGTCCCCCCTTTTCGGTGGTGAGCAAGTCTAAACCCCTCCTGTTGTGTAGGACTACTGCCGCTAGGGAGTCCCACTGGTTTTGTAGAGTCATTAAGAACTCAGCCACCTGTTTTAAACCTTCAATGACCTCAGCAGATAACTGCTGGTAATAGTGGGATGATGAGGCTGTTCTCCTATTCCTGTGCCCACTCCAGTTGCTATTTCCAGCCCAGCGAGTAGTGGTATTAACTGGATGGCCCTTTTTGATCGAGTATGGGCCATCAGGGGTACGGGAAGGCTCTGGTTACCAGGTATTATATCTATCTGAGGGGTAAGGAAGGCCAACGTGCAAGCACCTGTCCAACTGGCTGGCAGGCACCGGCAGGCGTGTGCCCCACATACAAAAAAGGTTCCTGGGCTCTGTGTGCACCAGGGTTTGGCAGGCATCCGACTGTAAACAGGTGTGCAGTTATGGGTTTGGGCACACTGAGCAGCGGCCAGATTTCCTACAGAATGTTTTGTCCCCGAGTTGTAGATGCAGGCGGGAGCTGTATGGGCCAACTGTACATTAACTGACTGGGGGCTTACATCTGCGGAGTCTGGGGACCACCCCGGGCGGCCATTGAACTTGCTTAGATCTGAGCGGCCCATCGGGCTGGCTGCATGCTGGAGGGGCCGGGACGCAGGCAGAGCCAGCAAGCACCTGCTAGTTGTGGGTTAGCAGCATGAAGGTGATGGACTTGCTTCATAAGGGACTCAATTGGGGGTCCTGGTTATAAGCATGGACCTAGGTCTGTTTTTCTTTTCCCAACCCTTGCTAGGTCTATAGAAGGGCCCTGAGCGTGTGGGCCGGGGATTTTTTCTGGGGAGCAGGTTCCTGCCAAATGCAATTTGGCGAATGGGTCCCATTGGAACCCCCGTCATGGAAAGAGGTATGTCAGCAACTACTTTTATAAGCAGAAGAAGGGTTTGGGGCTTCATTTTTCCTAACAGGGAGGTATGGTTCCCCCAGCAGACACTGACTGACCATTAGGTTTCCTATTGTAGAGAGAGAGAGTACAGCTGCTATTAGTTTCTGGCCCATGTTCCAATCCTGGGGTGCGGTGGCTATCAGTCCTAAAGCTAGTAATATAGTAACAATACTCAATAAAATAAAGTCGGGCGGCAGTTCATTTTATGTCTTGATCGGTGGTTCCTCAGGCTTCCGCCGTGCATTGACTAGCCAGCTTCCAGGTGTGGCTAGAGCAAGGCTTGGTGCTCTCTGGCAGGTGAGGCGGGCGTCTCTGGCCCCAATTTCAAGTGGCTCCTCGAGGTCTTGGTTGACTCTCCAGACATCCTCGTCTCGTGGTGGTGCTTCTCTCTTTACTCTGGTGTGATGAATCCACGGGGCGATACCTGCAACTTTAAGAGCTGTTGGGATGGTTAGTATAACTGGGTAGGGGCCCCTCCAAGTGGGTTCAAGGGGCTCCTTTTTCCAATCTTTTATCCAGACTTGATCTCCTGGCTCATATGGGTGTAACATTGTTCCCAGTGAGATTGGGATCCTGTCAGTTACCCACCTACGGACTTTCCGCATAGTTTTTTTCGAGACCTTGCATTTGCTTATGAAGTTCTAAGCGTCCCACCTCTCTAACTTTTTCTCCTAGTAACATCAGGGGAGGGGGGTTCCCATATAAGATTTCAAAAGGGGAGAATCCCGTCTTGGACTGAGGGGCACAGCATACCCACTGGAGAGCCATGGGCAGAGTGTCAGCCCAAGATAGTTGAGTTTCTCCCCCGAGCTTTATCATCTCCTTTTTTAGGGTCTGGCCCATGCGCTCTATCCTCCCTGAATGCCGGGGCCTGTAGGCTTCTTGTAGATTCCAGCTGATGTTTGGTGTTCTTACTACTTGTACTATTTCTGCCACGAATGCGGGTCCATTGTCTGACCCTATGGTTAATGGCATCCCGAATCTGGGAA